AAAAAAAAAAAAAAAAAAAGGCACGGTAAAACCTTTTTTTATAACAGTAAGGTGTAGTTCCAAGTATTTTTATTCAGGTAGGATTTGTATGGAATTAGGATGTATTCTTATTCAGGTGGGACTTGTATGGAATTAGGATGCCTGATTGGTATAAGAATTCAACACAAATTTGTTTTACGGTGAGATTTTTGATGTTAGAATTTTAGTTTAGATCGGAAAAGAATTTCAGTGTTGGAAAATTTATAAATACATTCTTAAATTAAATAAATATTTAAAGACATAAAAATTGATTAATATTTTATGAATATTTTAATTGTTTAATATTTATCAAAAAATATTTATAATTTTATAATAATATAGATATAGATATCGATAATAATGCTTCACTTCTTTTCCCTCACGAGCCGTCTATGTACAGTAGGAAATTAGCCCTATAATTGCTAGCCAATCATTTTACTTTTCAGTCTAAAGATAAGAACAATGTTACGCAACGTCATGCCTACAAAAACCCAGAATCATTAATTACATACATGGATTAGTCATTAGCTCGTCGGAAAAGGGTCAAAAGAATATCCCTCTCCGCGAAAATATCATTTATACCCTTCGTTATACTATTAGTCCATCATTATTCCGACATTATAAAAGTTATGCGAAAATACTCTTTTTCCGTTGGTACCCTCCACCATGACAATATATCCTAAATAGACTGACATTTTGGTGAAATAGATGTCACGTGGTATGCCACCTTATCCGGCCCCATTCTTTCACCCTTTTCTTTATTTTTCATTCATCACCTCCGATTGGATATTTTTGTACCACTTTTATAACGTTGGGCTAATGGTGCACCAATAATATAACTCAGAGTATAAATGATCCAAAGTTATTTTGACCCTTTACCGTTAGCACAAGGTCCAGTTGGACAAATTCATGCATATTTACCTACATCAACAGAAGTAATGACAGTCAACGTTGGCAAGTTGGTAGTACGGCTGCTGGCTGCTGATAAAGCTAAAAGCGTTTTCTACCTTCCAGAGAGAAGCCATTGGCAAGTTGATGAGAAAGACCCTATATAAACACACTTGACCTGTTCATCAGCGTCGAATAAGCAGTAAATTTTCAGGAAAAGCACCGTTATTGTCGTAAACCAAGAACCATTGTCAATTGAATTTATGTTCTACACACTTGATAAAAAAATATTGTACTAAAGTTACTACTTTAATTTACAAGGTAATTATAAATAAATTTTTATAATTAATATTAGTAATTCGTAATACAATAAACTTGATAACTAATCTGTTTATCAAATGTTAACCTAGTGTGAAAGAAGTTCAGCATTATAACTCAATCTTTTTCTATTATATTAATTTCTAACAATAACTTGTGGGAGAGATGTTTTGACTTTTGAAGGAGCCCATAGTCTACAACGGAGTAACATATTCCCCATATTGCACTCTCGCTTAGCCGTCCTTGTTGAGAGTTGAGACTTCAGTCACCAACTTGTATGCTAATTACGTAAACAACTTCCACTTGGCCATTAATCAATCTCTTTCTCAAACGTGCTCCACTCTCCTTCCATTTTTCTATTTCATTCAATTACTTAAGTAACCACCTAATTAAGTACCTTCCTACTACTCCTCCCGCAACTTCCCTCCCTTTCTCTTCCTTTACTCCATCTCCCCATATATACTAACCACTTCACTCAATTACAATCTCCAAGTTCTCAAATCTATCTCTTTTCTCTTCTCTCAAATTCTTTACTGACTACTTCTTTGAACAATATCTCTGTTTAGTTCTTTCAAGAAAAACCAACTAAGGATACATATGGCACTTGAAGCTTTGAACTCTCCAAGAGCCCCAACCCCACCATCATTTCAGTATGAAAACACCACTCTCAACTGCCTTGAATCTTGGACAAAGGGTAAGAGATCAAAAAGACCACGTACTATAATGGAGCAACAGCCTACTGAAGAAGAATACTTAGCTTTCTGTCTTCTTATGCTTGCTCGTAGTAACGGTAATTATACTACTTCAACAAAGAATCAGCAACCCCCACAGCAAATATCAACTTTGACATCGGATTCCAAGAATTTGTACAAGTGTTCAGTGTGTGGTAAGTCTTTTGGATCTTATCAAGCTCTAGGTGGACATAAAGCTAGTCACCGTAAACAGCTCATTAACGGAGACGTCAATGAGAACTCCGCCACAACCTCCACTATCACCGCCGGTGCCACATCAGCTACCGGCGGTAGTGGGAGGACTCACGAGTGTTCCGTTTGCCACAAGACTTTCCCAACTGGACAAGCTTTGGGTGGTCACAAAAGGCGTCACTACGAGGGAAAGGTGACGTCATCCGACGGTGTGGGGTCTTCGAGTAGCCAGCGTGGATTTGACTTGAATATTCCGCCCTTGCCGGAATTTTGGCCGGGATTTGGCTCCGGCGAGGATGAGGTGGAAAGTCCTCATCCAGCTAAGAAATCGCGACAATTTCCGTCAACCAAACTTGAATTATTCTGAGAAGTTTAGTTCGTTGATTAGTTAACTACTATATAGTACTATGCTTTTGGGTGGGCCGGATTTATTTTTTTTGGTTTTCCTTTTTTTGGGGGTAAATATCAAATACACTTGGTGAGAGTGATTATTTAATTGATTCAATTTATTTTTTAAACTGGTCTCGCTCTCGCTATGATTTCGTTCTATTAATTAATTGTACACAAAGCGAGTAGTCAGTCTCATTGTTTGTGTTTTAAAAGCGTTTTCTAGACGATTTGTGTTTTAAAAGGCGTTTTCGAGAGGGCGAGACACGCCAAAAACGCCCTGAGGCGATGGTGTGGGGTGAAAGTCTCAAGAGGCATACGCCCAGCAATTCGAGGCGTACGCCTGAACGTTTGAGGCGCGTTTTCTTAGTAACGTATAAGTCTTAGAGACTTTTTCAAATTAAAACAAAATTTGTTGAATAAGTTCTTCATTTAAAACTCAAATTCTCAAAAGTCAGCTTGATAATTATTCAAAAGTTTTAAAAAGGAACTGAAATGTATTAAATTTAAAAGTCAAGACCTATTTTATTGATTGAAGCCATAATTCATGATATTTTTCAATTCTTTATCTTGTCCGCTAGTCTGCTAATATCTCCTAAAAGTAACGAATATTCAATTTCTTTTTTATAAATACAAAGAGAACTACATTCTTCTTCATAATAGTATGTTCAAAGTTCAAATTGCAGGTTAGCCATCATTTTTGTTCCTCCATGTAGAAAACTTTATTCTTTTCAACTCAAGTTACTTGTGCTTATGAGTAGCGTATANACATGTTTATAAATATTTACTATAATTATATTATTTTATAAAATATTAAAAATTAAATACCTATAGGGCTTACGCCCCGTGCCTCGGGGCTTATGCCTCGCTGAGGCATATGTAAAACGCATCGCGTTACGCCCACGCCTTTTAAAATACTGATCAGTCTATATTGTTAACGCGTTTATTATTTATATACGACTTTTCACGATTCACATTTATAAATCATTATTATTCTAATTTTTCTTTGTAGAAAAAGATAGAGTTAATTTTTAGAAATTTACAGGCGCATTGAAAGTGGTCAATTGTGATTTCGCTATATAAACCCCATATTTTACCAAGTTAATGTTTTAAATAACTAGAACAAAAGATTAAGTTAGTATAGCTTCAAAAGAACGATGTTTTATAATTAATACCCACTCTCATTCCCTCTACCAAAGAGAGATGCAAATTTCCTCTTCCATACTCCTAAGATTAAAGAAAAAACTAGACCCTTAGAATTCAATGTTGACAATTATAGTATGATGTGAATAATATAGGTCGTGGTTGAGAAGTAGCACGTTGTATTTAAATGTCAGAGCTAAGTAGGTTGACAAATGATTGCCGCCCTTCGTTTAATAAACTGTAATCCACTAGACTATTAATACACCGACCTATTTGCCAAGAAAATTGCAGTTTATGCTGGCAACTGAATGGTCCAATACGATGCCGCCTATGTAAAGAGTATACCCTTGCCAGCCTAATTTGTTTGATCATTTTTCTCCGAGGAACAGTCAAAATAGAATTAACTTGAATTCGGGAATTCGAACTGCTATGCGAACTCTTGAATTTCTTACCGTCATGTCTAATTTTCGTGAACAAATATAATTGAAGTGGTGGATTCTTCAAACAAGGGACTGATGGTGTGGAGTATTTTCCATCTCTTCTCGATAAAGAAGTGGGCTATAATTGTGCTCGATTTTATATGCCCTAATTCCGGCATCTCTTCATTAGTAGGGGCAAGAATCCACCCGAATTGGATTTTTTAAGAACGTTTCAAAGGAAATTGAATTTGGTTAGATAATGAGCCTGTTTGGTCAAACTTTTAGGAGGCTAAAAGTATTTTTTTTTTGTCAAAAAAATATTTTTTTGAAAATTAAAGATGTTTGGCCAAAACAAAGAAGTGATTTCGAGCACCAGCGGTTTTTTTTACTTTTTAGAAGAAGTTACAAATTATAGTTTCTTTCAAGAATCAGAAGCAGAAAACTAACTTTCAAGATAAAAGTATCCTTGCCAAAAAATTATATTTCTCAAATTATCCTTCATTAATTTAATTTTTTTTTCTTTTTTTAATTTCTACCATGCATTTCTTTATTTTTCTTATTTTTTATCATTTTTTATTCTTCTTTGAAATAATCTATCTACTATTAATAGATCTCTTTTTTATGTAGGATTTAAAGAGTAGATTTTTAGTTTATACTAAACGAAGTATATCAATATATTAGAATCTCCATGTAAAGAATAAGTAATATCATATACCAATATTATTTATTTGGATAACTATATTTTATATTGACTAAAATCTTTAATATATATTTTTACTTTATGTTTTATAAACTCAATTCTCTTTTATAAATAATACTAATAGTAAATTGAATATTTACTGTCCTTTTTCGTAATTTGATACTCAAAAGTACTTTTTAGAAAGATTGGCCAAACACAATTTGCTTATCAAATACTACAAAAAACACTTCTAAAATATTATTCTCCAAATATTCTTTCGAAAAGTATTTTTGAACAAAAATACTTTTCAAAATAAACATTATCTTTTGGCCAAACTGGCTCTATATGTGGTTGGGAAACAAGGATGAACTAACTTCATTTACTTTAGCATTTAATTGGTCACATAACTCCTTGTGGAGAACGAGATTAATTTGAAACAAGCATGAAGCATCTCATCCTTGTCCAAATGGAGAAACAAAAGCACGAGCAAATTTCTAAATTCTCGCAACTAGAATTCTCTTATGCATGCATGTGTATACCACCTGACAAGAAACATAGTCACCAATTTCATATCACAGATAATATGATCGACGCCAACCCCCCAGCACATCTCAAAGTGAATACATCAGCATTACTTTAGGTACAGAAGCTAGAATTTTTAAGGGGTCAAAATATAAAAACTAAACACATAAAAAAATCTAGAGAATTCAACCTATATATAGTATGCCTAACAATATTTGCGTAGCTATTGAAGACCATCTATAAAGCTATTGAAGACCAAGGAGGCTCCGCCACTGCAACTACCACTATAAAGCTATTGAAGACCATCTATAGTAACCAACCGATCGAGGTAAGCTTGCAACTAGTAAATATATAAAAAGACTGAACATATTCACAACAAGTTTCATGTGTACTCTCTATTCTAAAATTTTAGTTAGTCGAATGATTTATGTTGCCAACTGTTTACCCGAAAAACGGATAGAGTTGAATTTATGCGTAGTCCTAAGGATACGTGATATGAATTGATACAAATCGGGAAAGATAAATAAATGTAAGTTGAAATTAGTTACTAAAAGAAATGAATGTAAACCATATGAACTAATTAGCCTAAGCCTTCAAGTTTAATCACCTCCAAATCGGGTGAAGAACGATTGATAGAGGAAACAATTTGACTAAAATACCAAAAGCCACCCAAAAAATAGTATTAGCTCTGTTTACTGTATATCTTAGAATGAATGTGTGTGTCAATCAATATGCTCTTACAAATGATAATCACTCTTAATATAGTGAGAGAATCTCATTTTGGGTATAATTAAAAATACATAGTGGGGATCCCATGATGAACTAATTAATTAACTTTTCCTTAATTTTCGCCGAGATTCTCTCCCCAAATACGGCTATAACGGCTCTTTTGTCCCTTGGCTCGATTTCGATCTCGGCCGGTCTCGGTATGGGTCGGTCTCTGGGTCTCGAGCTCGATATTGACTCGGGCTCGATATTGATCGATTTCTGGGTCTCGAACTCGATATTGACTCGAGCTCGATATTGATCGGTCTCTGGGTCTCGAGCTCGATATTATGGTAACGAACCTCGGTCCATTATGCTCCAATCTTGATTAATCACATGAGGGGCAAACTCGGCTTTGACCGTATACAGATAGTCCCTTCGTTTCTCGAAAAGAAGATGGCGAGAAACGATATGATTTTTCAACCTCCGACTACATGAATGCTGACGTCTGCGACGAGCTCGATTGTGATATATGTGACAAACGTCCCATCGGTCCAGTTACCAAGGCATTAAATGCTTGTCAGTCGATGGTCGGCCACTGGCAATTTTGAACCGTCATTGTGAAATCTATAAATAGCCCTTTTCTTCACTATTTCAAAATTTTACCTTTAAACCTTCTTCATTCCAATCTTTACAGTCCATCGCCTTCTCCAAAGTTTCCTATTTTCAGGTTTTGAAATTTCTTTGCTTGTTCTTCTCAAAACACCAAATACTTCAATCTCCCTTCTTCCTTGTTCACAAATATTTAGATGGCCAAAACATCTAAAATCGTTCCGCAAAAAGAGGTCGCTTCTTCATCACGGTCTGCTGGCGGTAAGGATGCGGCGGAGCCTCGCCCTGAGAAATTCATTCTGGTAGGGTGTTCAACTATCATTGATTTTAAGGTTGAAAAACCTTCATCGGTACCAGGCCGATGTAAGACGATGTCGAGGTACCAGTGTACAATCACCGATAAAATTCTCGAGAAAGTCAAACAAGAATGCAATTGGGGCGATAAGTACGTGGTAGTACCATCACCTGATGAATCAATTACTACCCACGTGGAAGGGTTCCTAAGTATTTATACTTATTCTTTCACGTTGGGTCCTTTAGACCCTGTCATCGTCGCCTTTTGCAAGAGATACGACGCGACCCTTGACCAGATCCATCCTTCTTTTTGGAGAATAGTAATTCTTCTCCAAATTTCTCGAGCAAAATCGAGGGGTGTCTTTTCACCCTCGACCACCCTATGCGCCTTTATAGCCCTCGACTTTATCGAGGAGGGTTAATCAAGCTTGCTCGCCGAGCCACCAAAGCGTCGTTCTCGAGCATAGACGAGACTCGTGATCGAGGTTGGATGGGACGATTTGTTTGAGTCAAAATCTCGGACCTGATCCCTGTCGATGACCTGCCATTTCCTGAGAAATGGAATATGAACCGTGAGCACTTATTTCCATTCATTTGTTTTAATTTTGTAATTGCCTTTCCTTTTCTTGATCCATTTTTTCTTGCTTGTCACAGTTGTGGCTCGGATGCCTGAGCCAATTTCAGATCTTAAACAATGGGTTGAAGGTTTGGTGCTGTTGAGACTATACTCTGAGCGCGCTTGGGTGGAATTATCAAA